TTAGCGATGACGCAGTTAGATGTATACGGCTGTTGAAAACAGACTCCTTTCGATCTCATATAAGCAGGTTCACGTGGATGTATCATTTTCAACTATTACCCAACAACGCTATGATAACAAAGACATTGTGAAATTCTTTTGTTTTTATGTAGAAAAATACAGTAATTTTACCAAGTAAAATCATATTTATTAAAATTGTTGTTCATACACGAGTTGTCGAACACACTACATAGTTTGTAATTTCATCTAGCTCCTTTCAGTCACGATTCAAAACAAATAAAAGGCACAAATATAGATAATATAGCAAATTATTTTTTTCTGTAATATTCGTGTGTAATCAGTAATTATGAAAAAAAATTATGGGTACACATGAAATAGATTTCGTTATGAGATATTCTTAATATCAATTTCTAAATTATTTTGTCAAAATCAGTTTTTTTTCCAGGTTTTTTTTCTTCTTATTATTTTTTGGGAACGGAAAGTCTTTATCGTAGAGCTTCGCCTCGGTTGACAATGAGCTCTTCGGGTCGCTAAAACTGTATGTCCACTTCTGTTGGGGTGAACATTTGTATTATTATACTGAATAAATCTTAGAACAGAAATGGTGGCACTCAATTATGGCAATCTTCCAGCTCATCGTTAGAAAGATTTTAGGAGGCAAATTTAATCTTGAAGGATTGCAGGAAATTGACCCTTACCGATTCATATTTATGAATTAATCGGGATTCAGGTATCATAGTGTTTGTAACAGGAAGAAAAAAAAACGCTTTCGCGTGGGATTTTTCATGCAAACATTGTGAATGGTTCCCCGACACTGATTCCTTTTTAACTTTAAATTTTTCTAAGACGCGGCAAACCCTGCTCATGACCGGAGACGTCGTCGAGATGCAGATGCGATTCCTCTTAGCAACGCGTTCTATTTATTTTCAAAGCGTGTGGTCGGCGCCTTTGATTGCGTTTATTTTGTTCTTTTATTCAGTGAACGTAATCTATCACTGGCAGCGTTTGTTTTTTCGCGTCTCACAACTTAATGTCCAAGCTGACTTTGTTTTGGCTGTAAGTGAACTACGTACAGCTCATGAAAGTATTTCGCCCAGAGTTCGCAAAAAACGGAATACCCTGCAAAATTTGAATCCTTTATTTTATAACGAGACATTGGGCGCAAACATAAAAACCATAATTGTAATTCAACAGATTTATGTAACGTGTTAGTCTGCTTGCCAGCCGCCTAGTTAGAAAACGCGATCTCCAGTGAAGTCGGTGTCGACAACTTCGGACAAGTAAGATGGGCGCTGGCCGACATTACATTTGCAAGTATTGTATTTGTTTGACAAATTGTACACTACGGTCATTCTATAACAATCGATCAGTCGTTTTTTTCACAGTCTTACTATTCCTGCAGATATTCTTCAATTGTTATAGGTGCCACGGATTTTAACATAACTACAACTTGACCCGTGTTAAACCCAAACCATGCGTGCATGACAACCGTCACCCTACACAGGGTGTGTAGGGTACACACGGTTTAACTCAACGAATACCGTACTCTACAGTAGACATTTTTCGCTCTCCACCAAAAATAGAATGGTTTTATTTCATATTAGTTGTGTCTGTGTCAGTGTCGTATTTGATTTCACATGTTTGGTTCGATCTTATTTATGGTGTACATTATTATCACCAATTTTATATGGCCGTGTGATCCACCGTATTTTTTTCAACGGTCGTTCTATAAATTTCTAATTGTATTTATTCTTATTTTAACATCATAAAAACAAAAATGATACACTTGTACATGAAACAGTAGGTAATGAACTGTAAATGCGGGCGGTTGTGCTGTCAGGCGAGCGAGCGAGCGAGCGATTGCGCGAGCGGATACTTCCAGATTTGCGCGGTCGAAAAAAAAGCGGAAATTGCGCGGTCAGATTGAACAAAGCGAGCGAAAAAAAAGCGATCGAAATCCGGAAGCGGGCGGGAGGTTCGGCGAAATGAGTACTGTAGTTAACTCATTGAATTGCGTGATATCTTTTCCATCAAAAATGTCATGGGTGACGTCACATAATTACCAAGGTTCTTAACCAGTTTAGAATTACACAATTCATGTAACACGGAGATAATATAGACTGATGGCTACTTATATAGTTCAATACAATTATGCATATATCAATCTAACACAAACACCACCTCACATGAACTATTTTATAAGGTACAACAAAATCTATGCTTGGTATGGTTCTCAATTCTTCCAGCAGTTTCACTCACCCATGCAATATTTCAGCAAGCAAACAAACAAACAAACAACAAAGTGTTTTGTAAAATGTAATAACTACCCTTTTAATAAACCATTAATACTGCAGATCACTCACACAATACACCTGCTATCTGTGCCATCAAGACAGTGTCTTCAACTCAATTGACTATCCAATGGAAGCAACATACATCAGAAGTTAAACTTCAGCACCGGATGGTAGGGGAGACTAAATGGTGTGAGGTTCCACATAAAGGAGGCAATACTGCTGAGGATGAAGATCTCAAACCAGATACACGATATTACTATAGATTACGAGCTGATGGGGAAACAAGTTATGCTGTTTCAGGGGTAACATTAAAAGGTATGCATTAAAGATCACTGTCAAGTATATTAATAAGCACAGCTGAGCTAAAGTCATGTATGCACCATGCACTCTACTGCTATATCCACTAAAGTCATGTATATACCATGCACTCTACTGCCAGGTATGTAATGGCAATCTTGAGCTTCAACCTGAGCTTGCTCAGAGTCAACCTGAGCTCCACCCTGAGCTTCAACTTGAGCTTGGGAAATTGTTTATAGCAGAAGCTCAAAACGAAGTTGGAGTGCCAAGACTGAGCTCCAACTTGAGCATCTAAGATCAAATCAGCTGGGTTGAAGTCACCCATTAAAGCAAGCGAAAGAAACATACTCACCAGCGGAATCAGACACAAGTCTCTTGTGAAAAAAAATTAAATCCACCAGCCAAATCTTCCTTCCGCCCATGAAAACATGGGTACCATGCCACCCTGAGCTTTAACTTGAGCTTGTAATAGTGTTTACAGCAGTTTGAATTAAGCTCAAAACAAAGTTGGGGTGCTGAGTTTCAACCTGAGAGTCTAAAATCAAATCTCAGCTTTTGAATGTGTTGAAGTCACACATTAA